AAAGTAGAATGATGTTCCGAAGATGACGAGCTGGAGGAGGACGCGGCGTCGTCATCACCTGGATTGTCTGCATCTCCACTCGGTTTACGTTTCCGCTTTTTAGATTTTACCCTACCCATTATAAAAATAGTAGTAAGTCGTAAACTTTTAGCAATTAGGGTAATTTAGAGAAATTAAAATAATTTTCAAAAAAGAAAAGAGTCTTTCCGTTTACAAATAATTACAAATGTCGTTTCCACAAAATTCTTAGGTATAGTAATTGATCAAAGACTGGATTGGAAAAATCAGGTAGAAAAAGTTTGCAGTAAAATTAACCGATTTTCATTTGCTCTTCATAAATTATCTAAGATAGCTACTAGGGGTACAGCTCTTACTGCGTACTTCGCTTATGTAGAATCCGTTCTTAGATACGGGCTTATCATATGGGGTAACAGTACATATATTAAAAAAGCCTTTGTTAAAAGTCGCTAAATTCGTAAAACAAAATATGTGTCACTTTAAACAGGCAAAAAATGTATACTCGTATATACGCAATACCAGAAATTGTGATAGATTGGTTACTGATATCACTCCAAGAAGCGCGAGATTCCAGAATAACTGTTATTGGATGTGTATTGTGCTTTTTAATAATATCCCCCTTAGCATTAAGAATCTTCCATTTAATAGCTTTAAAAAGGCACTATTTATTTGGTTGTGTGATAATGCTTTTTATAGTGTTAGGGAATATTTAAATCATACAAATAAGTAACGAATGCATATGTCGAGAATTGTGTAATGACTTTAAATGTGTGATATTTTCGTTTGTTTGTTATTTTTTTTCTTCTCTTCAATTGGACATTATCTACTCTAATATTGGCAGTGATTTTATAATTTAATTTGTTTGACATTCTTCAAGTGGGAATAATGATTGTACTCTATAATAGTTTTATGTAACAATGATATTTGTAATTTAATAATTTTGACATACATATATCCAATATGTTTTTGTAATTGTGTCAATGTTTGCATGCTATAGTTGATGGCTAAATGGGCTGAAGTCAAATTTTAATTCAATCTACAATGTACCTCATTTAAAAGCAAATAAATCGTTTTCTACGATTAACGCAATGTACAGCAAGAACATTTGGAATTTGGTTTTTTGAGTGGTACTCGAAACCTGTATCCGAGTACTGTGGATCCGAATTTAGTAATTTATCTCGAATACGTACCCGCTACGTATTCGAGTCAGTGTGACGCGGCATATTGGCATTTTCAACTACAGGTAACCTCGATAAAAAAAAGGCAATAAGTTTTTCACTCTTTTTTCATATGTACATTTACATAACGAAACTTAGAATTCATTTAATTTTATCATTTATACATTACTCTGCTTGAAAAGTTCTTTTAGAAAATTCTTAAGATGATCAGCAGAACCCATAGGTTTTGGATCCTTAATTATTAAAGACGCCACTTTTATAAGTATTTATTAGAATTTCTTTATTATTATTACGTAATTTATTCACAACAAAATATTAAAATGGCCACGGTGGTGACAGAATTAAGCATGGGCAAACCAAAAAAGACCTCTCGAGAGCCCCAGGAGTTTAAGAACTTTCAAGTCAGAATGATATAATACAACAGTGAAATAAATATACAAACATTGCAGAAGTCTCGAGAACCTTGAAAATGTGGTTCGAATACTCAGGGAAGAAGGTACGAAATTTTGTAGCATGCAGCGTAAGGGCGGGAAGTCTAAGCTCTCCGATAGAACTTTGGGGCTAATGAAGGAACGACGTGAAAACCCACCTGTCACTTCGTCAGGAAAACGTGCTCAAAACCAGGAGATCAGCAAACGCGTACGATATGACCTCCGGTGCTCCAATACTCACGCTATAGAAAGAGCGATCGAGCAAAACAGGGGGTCAAAAGTATTCGTACAATCTCTTGGAAGAAGCCACTTGACGAAGTTGACCACAGCAAGCGGGGAAGTCGTTGCTTCGAAGCCAGCGGTCCTCTCGGAGGTGGAAAATTTCTATGCCCGGCTATACGCTTCGCATGCATCTCGACCTGATCCCGGAAATGAGGATACTAGAGCCACATTAACACGCCACTACACCGAAGATCTGCCAGAAGTCAGCATTGGCGAAATCGAGATCGCTCTGAGACAGCTTAAAAATGGAAAAGCCCCTGGAGAGGATGGCATTACAACTGAATTATTAAAAGCAGGAGGTAAACCGGTACTGAAGGAGCTCCAAAAGCTTTTTAATGCCGTCCTCTTCGAAGGGAGAACTCCGCAGGCGTGGAGTAGGAGTGTAGTCGTCCTGTTCTTCAAAAAGGGAGACAAAACCCTGCTGAAGAACTATCGACCCATTTCCCTTCTAAGCCACGTCTATAAGCTGTTTTCTAGAGTAGTCACGAACCGTCTTGCGCAAAGACTTGACGAATTCCAACCACCGGAGCAGGCTGGGTTTCGGAGTGGATACGGCACCATAGACCACATCCACACAGTGTGGCAGATTATACAGAAGACTGAAGAGTATAATCAGCCCCTGTGTCTAGCATTTGTGGACTATGAGAAGGCCTTTGACTCGATTGAGATCTGGTCCGTTCTGGAGTCCCTGCAGCGATGCCAAGTCGATTGGCGATACATCCAAGTGATAAGATGTATTTATGAGGCCTCCACCATGACCGTCCAAGTACAGAATCAGCAAACAAGTCCTATACCGTTGCATCGAGGAGTGAGACAAGGAGACGTTATGTCTCCGAAATTGTTTACTAATGCAATGGAGGATATGTTTAAGACGCTGAACTGGAAAGGACGTGGCATCAACATCAATGGCGAGTACATCTCTCACTTGAGATTTGCTGACGACATCGTCATCATGGCAGAAAATCTGCAGGACCTACAACAGATGCTGAATGACCTGGCTGACTCTTCTATGCGCATCGGCCTACGGATGAACTTGGATAAAACCAAGGTCATGTTCAACGAACACGTACTACCGGAACCGATTGCAGTGTGCGGTGCCGTTCTTGGAATTGTTCAAAAATATGTATACCTCGGGCAAACATTGCAGTTAGGTAGAAACAACTTCGAGAGCGAGGTAAATGGAAGAGTTCGGCTAGGTTGGGCAGCGTTTGGGAAACTACGTCAGGTCTTTACATCGTCGATCCCGCAGTGCCTAAAGACAAAAGTCTTTAATCAGTGCGTCCTACCCGTTATGACATACGGAGCCGAAACGTGGACACTGACGGCACGGCTGGTCCACAAGTTGAAGGTCGCTCAGCGCGCTATGGAAAGGGCTATGCTCGGCGTTTCTCTGCGGGATCGAATCAAAAATGAGGTGATCCGGCAGAGAACCAAGGTTATCGACATAGCCCACCGGATTAGCAAGCTGAAGTGGCAGTGGGCTGGCCATATTAGCCGCAGAACCGATAACCGTTGGGGTAAACGAGTTCTTGAGTGGAGACCGCGTCTCGGCAAACGTAGTGTAGGACGTCCTCAGGCGCGGTGGAGCGATGATTTGCGCAAGATGGCTGGCAGGAGCTGGATGCGAACAGCCGAAAATCGAAATAGATGGCGTGCAATTGGGGAGGCCTATGTCCAGCAGTGGACGAATATGGGCTGATGATGATGATGATGGAAATTCATCTATCAAGTTAAATAAATGAATTTGACTTTGATAGCCCTTCTATTAAAGTCAAACTCATCCTTGTTTATTAGCAGAGGTCGGAATTAGGTAGAGTTATTTATGTACTTGCATCGAAATATTGATATTAATGTGGACCTTCCCGGGATTTCTAATGGACAATCCCGTGTGGCCAACAATCTTACAACAAAATAATAATAACAAAACGTGCAGTAGTTTAAATTGTGTAAAAGTAAATAACTTTAAAATCACGGGTTTTATTTAAAAAATCACGGAATTTTTCTGCTCTTTAAAATTAATCTCGGGATTTGAGGCATATCCACTTTATTCTTTCGCTGTATGAAATCAGTGTAAATACATGAATAAGTCTACCTAATTCCGACCACTGTTTATTAGTATGATTATTAATGTGGACATGATTTTCCCCCATCTGGAATATAGCAAACTTATATTATTTGCATTGGGAAAATATCGATTTCGTCTAGCTATTATGGTGAGCACGTTCCTGGGGTTAACAGCTACTTAGTCGAAGTTAGTTGAGAAACTATTAATGTCACAGAATACAATCCTAGAGGAAGCAGTGATATTATTTTAGTGAGAGGAAGAATTTAGTCGCAGGATGTTGACCGACGGCAAAATTATGTTATAATTTAATTGGAAATAACATTGATGGGAGAGAAGGCCTTATAGAATATTGTTGCAGCTGCTTGGTGAGACGAAGAACTTTTGAATGTTGTGTCCATATTATGTCTATAGTTTGTTTTTTTTTTTTGAAGATGGGCACAACTCAAAACAACATCGTTCCACCAGCACATTTTTAAATGAAGTCATTGTTAGGTAAGATGTCAAAGAAAAATAAACTCTTGCAAGCTTATGAGTAAGAATGAGGAAAAATATGTTTTTATATCATGAATTAAGAGTGTTAGCATTAATTGTTTGATAAAGATTAATTATTTGATAAAGATTAATTATTGACCTCTCGCTCTTATTACTTTTTGTTTTAGCTAATCTCAATGGTTTTCAGTTTAATTCGATGGTACCTATAAAAACTAGATATTTACGACAAGTTAAGAATTGAGAAGAGTTTAAATAGAGTCTTAGCGATTAATTAAAATACTTCTTTCCGATTAAGATGATAAATCCGATTTCTATTCGACGTTTTACAACATAACCTAAAAATCTTTATTTTATTATTACTCATTTTTCAGATTGCAAAAGATTGCAATACATCAACATTAATAAATACATTTGACAGATCAATTCTTGTATGGAGAACGAACAAACATTTTTCTTTCTGAAATCAATTTTCAACGGATTAAAGCTTATAATCTATTTGGAGATGTTTGATCTTTCATAGGCACTAACTGTCAACTCGAAAAGTTTCTATTCAAATAAATATTTCTCTCACAAATAATGATTACCTTACTTCTATACAATAAAAATATTAAGTTCAGTATAATATATTATATTATTTACATATTATCATCTCGCAGTGAATTTTATAACCCCACCATCGCAATGTTCAATCATACCTCTACCGTTAAAGCAGCTTAGCCACGTTTTAGAAAAAGCTTTGAAACTTTCTCTCTCAACATCGGTATTGAAGACGGGCGTAACGTTTATTTCAGGAATACATCTGCCAAAATTAACAGCGGGGAGCCACACATGAAAATCCGAGTCTGGGGAATACTTGAAAATGTCCTGGCATCCCTCGAGGTTGATTAGGGGGACGGGCGGCTGTCGTTGCAAAAGTTTCTTCAGTGATATGAATGTTAGCATGTTTTGTTTCAGTGTAATTGATTGCAAATTCTTGGCCCGACCAAGCGATCTGAAAATTTCAAGATATTTAAAAATATATAACTTGTATCCACTATGGGTTAAGACGAAAAGAGCTTGGACGCTGGTTTATTTGTTAACCGTTTTTTATTTAATCTAAGTAAACAAAACTTTTTAGAAAACCCCTTTGAACCGGTTCAAATCGGAAAATCAGTAATACGATTACGTTTATAGTTTTTTAACCGGTTTGATATCACTCCGGGCAATGATCACACACTTTTTACATGGCAATATACATGACACGGGGCGCTTGTATGCTTCGTTGTTTATTAACCAACATGTTTTATGAGGACTCAGCTGCTACACGTATCAATGAGTCGCGATCGGACTTTGTTCATTACAAATGGAATTAACCGGTTTATTTTATGACAACCAGACATATTACACGTATTAACGACTACATATGAAAGTTACTAACGGCTTAACGTGCCTTCCTAAGCACGGAATCCATCCTACGACTTTATGCCAATGAGCTAATAGACATAAGACATAATAAAAACAAGAACTATATAATTTACAAACCTGAATATCCTCATGAATTGTCCATCCACCAATTTACAATTGGACAAACTGAACCTCCTCATTTTCAACTCTTTCGCAGAGTCCATGAACGAAGCGACACACCCAACCACATTCCCTTCCACGCTCACGTCATCTAAATCCAATTCCGTAAAAATATTCGGGTTTAATGACGTCATCAAACAGCTAACGAACACCTGCTTCACAGCATTGTGACTGACGTCTATAGACTCTAAACTATCAAAATTCAAATTGAATTTGACAGAATCATTTAGAGCATTTTCCGTTAATCTACAGTTACTCAACTTCAGCACTTTCAATCTCACATAATTACACATTTTAGCTACGTTTCTGAACCCATCATCAGATATAGGATTGGCACTCAGGTCTAATTCTTCTAAAACTTGACACACAGGCCGTATCGTTTTCTCGAAGATATTTAGAAGTGATTTTGTGCCTTCAGCGGTGATATTATTATTGCTGATATCCAAATGAGTGATTTGTTTCATTGTGCATAAACATTCTGCTAAATACTTGACTCCATCGTCACCTATATTATTATCTGATATCATGATTGCTGTGATGTGAGTTTGGTGGGTCATCGCTCTGAATAAAGGTCGTATTTGAGATGATGATAATGTCCTAGTGCCTAAAGCTAATCGGTGCGTGGTGTGACTTCTGCCAACCGCTTGTTGTATCTCTTCTGATGTCGCTGAAATTAATAAACGTAAATTATAAATAGATATTAGACACCACATATATTGATAAGATTCCAAATTTAGTAGCCAAATAACATACAATACACACAATATAGATAGTTCATTATTACATTCCGACCGGGAATCCAATCCGGGACTGTAGATGACGACACTTTTAAAACCGGCCTACTCCGTCATAGAAGACCGTCAATAAAACTACAAGTTTTGAATATTGTAGCTGTCCTACTGCTTTACCATTTTTCTTTAAGTAGAGCTACGAAATTATGTATTACCAATAGACAAAAAAATCTACCTAAAAATCTAGACCGTTACGATTCAAAGTGAGGGTTTCTAAGAAAGAAATTAATGAGGGCCGCGACAATAAGTATACAACTATGTGGGCGTGCCAATTTTAAATATTGTATGTATAATACAAGACCACATTTTATACTCGTTGTCACGTGACCGTTAACAGCGCGTGACGTCACGATCCTCTGCTCATATTAAGAAGTTAGAGAAATTAAACCTTACGCATACGTATAAAGGGGATGACGTCATAGTGACACCATGACAGCATATTGCGGTTTCGCGGGAAGTATTGAAAATTTAATTTATTTTTAGCTTTTAAATAATATTAATTATATTTTTAAATAAAAATATTCAGAAAAGTCGTCTGTTAAATTCAGACAAATTAAACGCCATCATTATTATTCTGTTAATATGGCCACTGCTGGTGGCATTAATTAGGAAGGTATCACATAGAGTAATCATATAATATCATACCTAATCATTTTATCCCCTAATGTATCCTACACTCTTCATTTTAGGAATGGTGGGATACAATGAATCACATGTGCGAAGGAACCTTGCATTAGCAGTGTACTTATTAAAAGTATTAAGAGGTAAAATACATAATACAAAAGTGCTAGGCTTGTTTGGTTTTAGAGTTCCTAATAGATATATAGAACGCCGTCGTCGACCGCCGTTACTGGCAATACCGTACGGTAGAACAGACATCTTGAAAAAATGTCCGCTGACGCTCGCATTACAAACCCTAAATAAAATATCCGAGAGTGTAGACATATTTTGTTGTTCTCTGAGTGAATTCTCAAAAACGGCAATGTATATATTATGTTATACCTAGATAGAGATTTGAATAATTCTGTACTACTACTAATTGACTTTGCTTAACTATTGCATTGGGTCACGTAACCTGTAAAAATAGATTAAGTTGTGTGTATAAATAAATAAACGAGCCAAAACCACGCGGGCCCATTACGGATTAGTGGGATGCTAACGACTGTAGACTCAAGCGGGACATTGCTCCTGTCAACATGCCATCCGTAGCACGAAACACTCGAGGTGTTAATTTTTCGATCACCTATCTTGTATCCCCATACTTACGTATCCCCAATGCGTCACAGCACTCCAAGTACCGTTCTTCAGCCGGTGAAGCCTTCCAGTTGGTGATGGAAGTCTTCAGTTCCGGCGATGAAAGCACCAGGCTCAAAGGATCATCTTCGGACAAGATGGCGCCGTCTGACGTCATCAAACTAAATACAGGCCTCACACCAGTCAATCTGGGAAATCGATTTTCATGTAGTTTTATTCATTATCTCACATCACGTCAAATTAAGGGCTCTGTATAAAAACATACTATGTGTAATATCCTTTTATCTAAAAACTATTTTTCCATATTTTTTATCAAAATTTTAGCCCCTACAATTTAATAAATTAGGCCTGAATTTATTTTTGCAATTACTATTTTATCCCCTAAATAGGACAGAACCACGACAGGCATGCAAGGTTACCATTTAAAAAAAATTAAGTTCCAAAGCGTGTACATTGTATCTTGTACTTTAATGGTTTATTATTAATCCATTTATTTTACTTACTTGTAATATCTAGATTTAACTTCTTCAACCAGCCAGCTGATTGTCAGTCTATTTATATTATTCAAGTTTAAAGATATCAAAAATGTTTTATCTTCCACCTGCACCTTGACGGCAGTAGGAGGCAATATCTGTGTAGGTATAGCTCTACCATTTTTAGACGGTTTCATTATACTTATCGGTTGTATAATATTTAATGGTTGCATTACATTAGGACTCACATTTCGTACTACACTAAAGCCGTCATTGCTATTATAATTGAAATTTTCGGCCGATGAATTTCGAGAGAATGTTTTTTTCGAATTTTGTTTCTGAATATTCTGGTTCGATTCTTTCTTATAAGTTTCATTATCACTGCCACTATTACTAGATATATCGTCGTCCCTTTTCCTTTGAAAACCAGCTTTTAACAATGTACTTTGTCTTTTCCATCGTCTTCGCATATTGTCTCTACTATCTTTAGATCTTGAATCGTTTAGTTCTCTACTGATATTGACAAATGACTCAGCTGCTGTAACTTTAGGACAGACATTTTCGTTCTTCTGAAAACTATCCGAGTCCGAACTATTATCGCTCCGATCAACCACGTCACTTATAAGTGATTTCTTCTGTTTCTGATTAATCTTATTGCTGTCTACGAGTGGTTCACCGATTTTATTTATATTTTCAATGTTATTTTTAATACTGTCATAAGAGGGTTTCTTTGCAACTACTGTTAGGGGATCATTTAGTTTCCTTTTCTTGGTATTCTTATTTAAGCCTAAATCGTCATCAAGCCAATCGTCGTCAACTTCATCGGGATCGAGCAACGCTGATTTTGGTTTATTCTTCTTAACATCTACTTCAGGGGTATCATTTAAACTTCTATTTCTCAATGCCGATATTGCACTCTTATATTCTTTAACTCCAGATATTTTGTCTTTACTAGATCTATAATCATCTGAAGAAGCATTTGATTCATCAGAAGGGAAAGCTATTTGATTTCTAATTGCTTGCGATACATCTATTTCCTCATCGCTGTCGTCATCATCATCAATAATATTTCTCTTTTTGAATACCGGTGAATGTAATTCTTTTATACGACTAGTCGTTTTCGAAGTGCTTGGTGGAGTAACATCTTTAATAGGTTTAACTGGAGTTTTAGATTTAGATCTATTCAGGTCTATTCCACGTGTTTTATCAATGAAACTGTGTATTTTATTACAAATATTATTATAATCGTTCTCTTCGTCTCTTGTTAGTATTCTACTGGCACGCCATTTTTGCAACGCGTTTAGGGGTGTTTCGCCAAAATCGGTTTTGAGCGATGGCAGCGCACCTTTCTCTAACAGTAACTGGACAACGTCAAAGTGACCATTGCTTGCAGCGTCGTATAATGGAGTTATACCTGTCGACATTTTATTTATTGTTCAGATACTATCAGATTTGCAAGAAAATTAGCTAAATTAGCAACAATATGACATGAAAATCTAAAGATGGTGGAAGACCTTGTACTAAAAAGAATTTTCAACAAACTCAGCAAGGAATATTCATCCAGATTAGTTTAGACATAATCAACATACTTAAATATTACTTCAAGAGCACGAATTATGTTAAAAATAGGTATTAAAAAAACGTAGCGACATATATAAACAATCAAAACACACTGATAGATGTTACCACTGGATTTGAAACTTACATCTTAGATATCTAGACTTACCATCACAGTTGGACCCACCCCTATCATTGATATTTGCCCCGTTGTTGATCAGTATGTTCGCGATCTCCACGTGGCCATGTATGCAAGCTTCGTGTAACGGCATCCAGCCGGCATTGTCCCGTATATTCACTGGGTGACCTTTAGCAAGTAGCCTTTCTACAAGGAGCTTGTTACCGGATATACATGCCTACAGCAAAACAACAAAAATTGCATTGTAAATTTTGAGAGCTCATCATCTAAGTCAAAGAGCGTAAGAAAAAGAGGAAAAAAGTAGAGACTACAGAGTTAAGAAAAAGAGTTTTTATTAATAATGTTGATCAAATATAATAATTCAATCATTTGTATTTTTTGTGTTTCTTGGTAATTATGGTTGTTATTTTTACGATATTTGATCTGTTGGTGTAATAAATAAATAAGACAAGATGTATGTGTAGCTCGGTGGCGTAGTGGATAAGCGCCGCGGCCCGCGATCGTAGTGGTTAAGCAACTTTCGCTAGGGTCGGTCACGGGATGGGTGACCAAAAAAAAAATTATTATCTCAAGCTACTCCGTGCGTCGGAAGGCACAATAAGCCGTTGGTCCCGGCTGCATTTGCAGTCGTTAATATCCTCCAATCCGCATTGGGCCAGCTTGGAGGATCATGGCCCATCCTCCTTAACCATCCATAAGGAAGGCCTGAGCCCCTGCAGTGGGGACGTAAAAGGGCTGGTGATGATGTGATGGTATGTATAGCGTAGTCACAAAATACTTACAACATGCAACTGTGTCTCTCCTTTCATATTCTTTTTTATACTGAACCCTTTGCCTCGCCTCCGTGTTTCTCTAGTCTTATCGGCGACATCTTCTTCATTTGTGTCAGACACATCTAAAATTTAAACACTAAGTGTTTCAATCAGGTAATCTAAATAACATTCCATTTGAATATGAAGATGCAGATGCAGATCATAAACTATACTCCATTCACTATAACATTAGAAAAAAGAGGGTCATAGAAGCAGCAGTGCAGAACATTTTATTTTCTAGATAAATTAAAAAAATCTATATTAGTTTTGTTGAAACTTTGAACGTTAGGTAGTCTGAAAGAGCTGGGCAATTTTCCATTTTTTATGATACCTCGGTGTTGAGATGAGGCCAGCATTTTATAAATTCATCTTTTAGTCCCAAGCCAACATGAAACTATCTGTGTGTTTTGATAAATTCTAATTGAAAGTGTAATAAGTTAGACTATTGATGAAGACATTGGAAAAACTCCCTGAAATGTCAAAGTTTGAGGGTAGGTACGGGGGCTTAGAGCGTAAAACTAGTAGAGGGTGTACAAAAGAAGCTCCTGCGTTGCATATCCTATCGACAAGGTCTATCTCGTAAATTAAGATCTCACAACGAGAGATTGTCTAGGTTTAATGTTGCGACCCTGGAAGATAGACGAAAGCAAAGTGATTTGATCCATTTGAATAAAATTATACATCGAGTCACCATCCTTTTTATCCTCCATAAATTTCAACATTTCCTACAGAACGCGTAATCCAAAAACATTTTCATTGCAAGTTTTCCGCAACAACATATCCTTTTATAATCCAATCGTCCGTATGTGCCGCCTTTACAATGAGATAAGACATCGAGTCACCATCCTTTTTTATCCTCCATAAATTTCAACATTTCCCTACAGAACGCGTAATCCAAAAACATTTTCATTGCAAGTTTTCCGCAACAACATATTCTTTTATAATCCAATCGTCCGTATGTGCCGCCTTTACAATGAGATAAGTCAAACTAATCATGACATAGATATATTCGACGGTAACAGATATTCATTCAAAAAGAAAGTAATGTCACTATTTAATTAAAGGATTATGTTATCATAATCAACATTAACATATCTGTATAACACTGTTTTTTCTATTTTGCAAATTTCAACTTGGGCTTAAATTAATATCATTAGCTTTAATGCTGCTCCATTTGAATCATGCTAGAGATATATATTATTGGGTATAATTCGATTTTGCAAGTTAAATAACAAGTTATGCTTTGTATTAATTGCATCCTGTTTTGTATCTTAATAAATAAATAAATTTTTGTAGGCCACTCGGGCCTGTACTGGCATTGTCCATATTTACCAAAACTTAACAACAAAAATAAAACAATAACATCACGGAAAACAGCAAAACAACAAGAAAGGCAGTAGCATTCACAATGGATGACAATCCCAGATTACGATTTTAACAATTATGAATAAATAATAGTCTGACAAAATTAAAAAGCTGTACTACCGAAACGTTTGAAGGGGTTAGGCAACGTTTTAAATTTGGTAGAGTTATAGTGACATGAGAATCGTGCTGAAACTATCCAACCCTGCTTCTTTAGGTTCTTTACGATGAACACTTTTTATTGTAATAGTTATTAAATCATTTAATTTAGTCAAATAGTCATAAATTTGTTTAATAGATAGCTTAAATGACAACAGTTAAGTATAGCAGCTGATATTTAAGTGTATATGTAGCAAATTAGCTGTCAATCTTAAAAGTAACAAGATTATTGATATTTTGTCACAAAGTATACCATAAAAAGAACCTTATTTCACTTCTGTCTAATGCTATAATGAATGGAGTATAAGGCTTATATTTAAATCCGTGGATAATCTGTGGACTACAAGAACCGAATCGCAGGCGAGCATGATGGATTATCGTGTGACGATATTTCAATAAAGTAAACGTCAGTCTTTGTTGCGAGTGCAACCAGTAATCATGTTTATTGAAATATGACGTCACAACTCAAAGTATCACGTAACTGATTGTTTTTGCGGGACAATTTGAATTAATGTATGAAGATATGTTTCCCTTTTATTTATTTTTTAAAGAAGCTTTTTAAAGAATAATAAATATGATAGTGATTAAATACTATAATCATATAAAGATAAAATACTTTTCCCAGTCTTGTAGACTATTGACCTTGGAGAAGGACATACTATTACTTATATCACGATAAAAGAGGTTTAAATGGGTATGTACAATTGTATTGAATTTCGTCATAGTAAGTATGTATTATATAAATTTTAAACCTGTAAGATCATCAAGGCAGATATCATCTCCGATATGTGTTGTGTCTTCGTCACCTCCCCCTGTTGAACTTTGCTCATCTTCGGAGTTGTCAACATTATCAAAGTCATGACCTAAAGATGTCAATTCATTTTTAGTCCACTCCATTTTTTCTGTCTCTCCATACTCTTCCTGATACTTCAATAAATTCTTCAATATTCTGATTTCATATTTGCTTTTATTCCATTCTTTGGCCTGAGGAAAACGCAATGTTATAAGAACCTTTAGGTCAATTATAATTATATCATCTGTGACAGGATAAAAACTTTTTTCATACTTTGAAATTGTCATGTCAGTCTTCAGGATCATTATATATAACAAAAAGAATCTTATTACATACTATAGGTGTACCAGAATCTTATGGCATTTCAGGAAATTTTAATTTGTAGAGGGCAACATTAGGAAGCCAGGAAAAAGACGTCTTGATACTTGTAATAAGTATTACAAGTATCATCACGTCTTTAAAATAAACACTTTCAAAAATTTTCAATTTGACTTGACAGTCGTCAACAGAAACTAATTGAAGATTATTTTTTGTTTTTTTTTTGCCATCGGATGCTGATACACCAATAGATTTTATGACTTCTGACAAATATTTTTAATGAAAAAAGTGATGTCCTGAAGCTGGTGGTTTTTAAGCTTTTTTTTACGAAATATATTAATCAGAAATAATCTTTTTACGGAAGTTTTTACGCGCTTTTTGTAATTTCACGAGTAGCACATACCTAATGATTGACAATAATGTTTCAGTATATTTTATTTTTTATTTAAACCTGGCCCACCTTCAGATTCTAAATCTAAATATGGCCCTCCGTCAATTTTGCCACCCCCGCGCTAGTTAATAATAAATCTATACTAATATTATAAAGCTGGAGAGTTTGTTTGTTTGTTTGAACGCGCTAATGTCAGGAACTACTGGTTCGAATTGAAAAATTATTTTTGTGTTGAATAGACCATTTATCAAGGAAGGCTTTAGGCTATATAACATCACGCTGCAACTATTAGGAGCGAAGAAATAATGGAAAACGCGGACGAAGTCGCTGGCGGCCACTAGTGTATCATATATATACCTACCCTACAGCCGACCTATTTTTATAGAATGTTTACTTACAGCATTCCTTGCATCAAGACAAGCCTTTTCAACTTGATAGAACGACTTTTTTGCTAGGAACCTAGCCTCAGCAATATTATACAATGTGGTGTATGCCTCTTTTGGTATATCCTTGATAAGTTCATACTCCTTCTCGTAATAATGTAAGGCTTCATTGTAACATCCCATATCTTTATAAGTTTGATATAAACTGAAACATTATTAATATTAACTCGAGCTAAAATAACAATTTAAGCTAATATATTTAACAAATAAACAAGAATTTAAATGAAGCAAAACTCTCAAAGTTATAACATGTATAATATTGAGATAGTTCTCACTTTGTACATCATAATATATGGATAATATGGATATAGTTTTGTCCAGTTTGTAAGGTTTTTAGTATTACTAAAAAATCATTTCAGCCAATTGTACATTTAAATTTACTGTATCTATATGTTTGTTTTATCTATTTGTGTACAATAAAGAATTTTCATTAATTCATTAAAAATTATGTTTACCTCACATAAATCGGAATAAGGCTTTTGCCACAGTTGCCTGATAGCTCTGCATGGTCCAACATTTTCAAATAATAATCAATGGCACCAGAATAGTTCTTTAAATGGCATGCACCATCACCCAATTTTTCATATAATTTCTTTAAAGTAGCATGATCAGAAGGATTGGTTGATATTAACAAATCTTCAGTGTAGCACATAGCAGCCACTATAAAAAAAACATTGAAAAAGTTTCCTTTTGTAAAATGATATTGTAGCGATAATTAGATATATAATAAGGATGATGACTATTTTTTGTTTGTTTGTCCGCCAGGTAGAGTGTTAACAAATATTAAACACGTCATTTTTTATTTTTTTGGTAATCATAAATTTACGGCGTTACATTGAGTTGAAATTTCGCATGACGTCACGTTAGAGTACGTTTTCTACTCAACTGTGACGTAGCGAGCCCCCACTCCTCAACTTTAATGCCTGTTATCTAAGCTATTTCTTGTTAAATTGAAGTAAAAAAAATACGTATCTAATATTTTTCTATTATCTGACTGACGGACTAAATAGAATTGCATTTTTTTTACCCAGTCATCATCTTATGCTATGTCTCCCATGTCTACCTTAAAATTGTAATTTAAATGTGTGTCCTATAACTTAAATGAACAAAGCAATATGTTGGTTTGCTATGTCAGTAACATATATAAGAGTGAATAACTATATTTGTCAGTTGCAATGGCTGGCATAGATTAATATATTAAAATAAAAAAAATTTTGTTTTGATAAATACTTTAGATATATTTAGTACTGTACATATATTTACCTTTATATGTAAATATATTATAGATGAGGTAGGGTTTAAGTGGGGATGCTATCTGTCTTTGCGACCATTACGGCCATTAAGCTGTGATGCCAACATTTATAGACAACAAATTTTATCTCACAATCAGTAAATCATTGAAATATTTGTTCATGATCATCTTCATTTATTAGACCTAAATAAATAATATTTAATTTTTTGTTTAATATTTTAGTACATACCAACTTTCAGATTAGACTCAATATTTTCATGTTCTTCTTCATCTGGTGTCTTCATTTTCCAGGCTTTTAAGAGTACTTGCTTTGCACTCTGGTAGTCAGACATCTTACATAGAATGTCAGCTTTTGACGATAATGTTTCACACATTTTGAGTGCCTACAAGAAAAGAAAAAGTAACATGTCAGCAATGACAGTAAATAATGACAATAAATAAATAAACAAAAAGTTTGATATAGAGAAAAAAACAAGAAAAGGGTAGAGTGGTTATGGCTTTTATTTTTTGTTAAAAGCACAATAGTATCTTTTATTTGCAACAAAGAACACTGGGCGCCAATCATTTATTACTTAAGAACAATTTTAAATACTTTTGACCCTTATGGAAAAAA